CCAGCTATTAAGGATACAATTGAATAAAAGAAAAGAATAAAAAAAAAAAAAACTTAAAGCTTAACTGCTAAATTTCATTTTTTTTTATTAAAATTAATTAATTTAGTTATGATTAATCTTATATAAATTAGAAAAAAAGAATAAAAAAAAATATTTTATTTGTGTTTTATCATTTACAAGAAGAAACTGTTTTGAAAGACTTGATAATATACATTTGACCAAAGGTTTCGGAGTTCTCATTTAAAATTCGCGCGCTGTATATTTTTCGAATAAGTTTACGTAGTTTGCAGACTGTCCTTAATTACTACAAAAATGAGCGCGATCTGTCGGACAGTTCGTTTACGGCAGCTGTTGAAACCAGTTCACCTCAGTAGTGCGTTGCGAAAAAAACAATGGAAAAAAATATTGAACAAAGAGTTTGCATCAAATTTTGTTTTTCGAACGAAATTTCGTGTGCAGAATCGTTGCGAATGCTACAAAAGGCTTATGGGGAATCAGTTTTATCGAAAACTCAAGTTTATGAGTGGTACAAAGCCTTTCAGGACTGTCGTACGACCGTCGAAGACATGCCGCGTTCTGGACGACCTTCGACCTCTACCACCGACGAAAACATTGAAAAGGCAAAGGAAATCGTGTTCAAAAATCCTCATGTGAGTGTTAGAGAGATAGCACGAGAGCTAGGCATCGGTCGTGAGATGGCTCGTTTGATTTTGGTGGACAATTTGTGTATGCGACGTGTCAACGCCCGGCTTGTTCCGATTCACCTCAATTTGTTCAACATTATCAACGATTTTAAGGCCAAACATTCAATAAATACCATCGAACAGCCACCGTATTCACCTGATCTTGCACCGTGTGACTTTTTCCTGTTTCCCAACCTCAAATTACCACTCAGAGGAACGCGTTTTGAATCCATAGAAGACGTAAAACAGAATTCGCAGAGGGAACTCAAAGCCATACCGGAAAGCGCCTATAAAAATGTTTTGATGATTGGAAGAAACGTTGGCATTTGTGTATCGCTTCTATGGAGCATATTTTGAAGGAGATAAATAAATATTGATGAAGATTAAGAATTTTGCGTTTTATTTATTTATGACCGGAAACTTTTCGGTCACAATGTAATTTTTTTTTGTTTTTGGATCAATCTGTAATATCAAAGAGAAAAATATCAACATATCAAAAAAGAAAAAAAAAAATCAATTACAACCACTGATGTCTAAATATTTATTTCTTTGTTTAGTTGTTTGGGATTTTTGAATTTATAGCTAGGTCACAGCGGTGGCTGGAGTGACGTCATTTCTGCGGCTGCAAGGTAAGCTATGAGAACAAATAGCAAACGTAAAAGAGATAACTAATTTACTCAGTTAAAAACTGAGTGTTTTATAATTGAATATTTTTTTCTTTTGGTTTCATGTTTATTATCAGTACTACAATTTTCTTTTTCTATTTTCTATTCTTTTGTTGGTGTTTTGGTTAGGGAAGTTTTTTTTTGTATATACACCAATTGTCACCATAATAAGTATAACAAAGAAAAAAAAATAGTTGTTGAGAAAGGAATGAATAAAAACCTGGTAATCACAATAGGTTTATTATATTATTTTTGATAAAAATATATATATATATATTGAAGACATTAGTGAATAATGTAAATATTTAGTAAAATTTTATTAGAAAAATATGTATATATGAAATTCTTTGTAAATATCTATATATACATATATATGAAACATTGTAAATATCTATATAGGAAATATTGTAAATATCCATATATGAAATAACGTAAATATCTATATATGGGGAAATATTTGGTAAAATTTTTATTACTACTTTGAAATTATATCATAAACGTCATAAAACAATTTCTGTATTTATAGTATAGGTCACAGCGGTGGCTGGAGTGACGTCATTTCTGCGGCTGCAAGGTAAGCTATGAGAACAAATAGCAAACGTAAAAGAGATAACTAATTTACTCAGTTAAAAACTGAGTGTTTTATAATTGAATATTTTTTTCTTTTGGTTTCATGTTTATTATCAGTACTACAATTTTCTTTTTCTATTTTCTATTCTTTTGTTGGTGTTTTGGTTAGGGAAGTTTTTTTTTGTATATACACCAATTGTCACCATAATAAGTATAACAAAGAAAAAAAAATAGTTGTTGAGAAAGGAATGAATAAAAACCTGGTAATCACAATAGGTTTATTATATTATTTTTGATAAAAATATATATATATATTGAAGACATTAGTGAATAATGTAAATATTTAGTAAAATTTTATTAGAAAAATATGTATATATGAAATTCTTTGTAAATATCTATATATATATATGAAACATTGTAAATATCTATATAGGAAATATTGTAAATATCCATATATGAAATAACGTAAATATCTATATATGGGGAAATATTTGGTAAAATTTTTATTACTACTTTGAAATTATATTATAAACGTCATAAAACAATTTCTGTATTTATAGTATATAATAAAAAAAAAAAAAAAGTTACAAGAATATATTTTTTTATTTATTATTATTTTGTTTATAACTTCATTATGAGATTTTGTTGAATCTATATAAAGGGGTGGTGTTAGTGCGACGTTCCAATCATTTTTCCTAAGACAGGGATTCCTTAAAAAGAAATTGTATTCAACTATTTTCACGTGATTTTAAAAATGAAACATTTTACGAACAGCACTCAAGCATTACCGGATGTATTACCAGTGTTTCCCACATTCAAAGAAAACATGGCGATACAAGCTGGTGCTGTTAAGAACGTCGACTGGGGAGTGGAAAAGTCCATCATGACTGAAATGAAAGCGGTAGGGTTATCCAGAGGTAGGACCAGCGACCTAGGTGCAAGCCTGGCGTATACCGAACTTCCTAAGGCAGCTGCAGTAGTAGTGACCATCAAGGGCAAGACTCTCCCCACATTATTCGATGAGGATTTTTTTAAATTTAAGAAACCCAAATAAATAATAATAGCTTTAGTTATATATATATTTTTTTTTTTGCGTAGATATATTGAAGTAATTTAGGTCAAGTAGAATGAATTAGATAAATAATAGTTTTTTGTTTTTAAGCATTGAAATAATTAATGAAGTTAGATTATTATGTGAATATCATACTCATTATTTGAATATTATTATATGAATATAAATAAATGTATAAATGAAATATTAATGGATTATAGATAGATTTGGTTAGTTAGGATACGAACTAAAAAAAAACATGGCACGAATTTTTTTTTGTTGTTGTCTGCAGCGATTCCTCAGTTGCCAAGAACCCCACCCCAACACCGGCGAGCATACCGGGCTAGCCACCGTGCCATGAGTGGTTTCTGAGGACGCGGAACTACCAACAGGTAGACGCAACAAATGGCGCCCAACGTCACGAAAGTAAGACGAGACAACGACGAAATAACAGAGCAACATACCAACAGATGACAAAATGAAGACAGACAAGAGAATTCGGGTTGGTCGCACAACAAATGGCGCCCAACGACACGAACGTAAGACGAGACAACGACGAAATAACAGAGCAACATACCAACAGATGACAAAATGAAGACAGACAACAGGATTCGAGTTGGTCGCGCAACAAATGGCGCCCAACGTAAGAACCAACGGACGAAACAACGAACAAAACAACGGACGAAGAGACAATGACGGGACAATGGACGTACAACAGAGCGAACAGGACCAACGAAGATTTGAGAACAGAAGACTTTTATGCTGAAGCAGACTCTAATTAGTGAACGATAAATGTAAAGAATAAAGGATTCATTCATTGCTTCTGAAGATATTCCAAAGTTGCTGTTTTTTTTGTGTAGTTGAATTCACACCAGTCAACATAGTTAGCTTTAATCCGGTGGGTTAAATGTTTAGCGCCTGACTTGCCTTTGTTCGTTACGACGAGTTAGGTATTGCAATGTTAGATAAGGCTGAGTTTTTTTTTGTTTTGAGATTCCTCGATACTGAATTCATTTGGTGTAGAGTTTTGGTCCTCAATTTATGGATTGTTTCAGAGGGATGACGTTTTGAATGAATGAGACGCGACAGCATCAACGGAAAGATACACCTATGACGACAAGTTAAGGAAGATGTGAAAACAGATGAATACAACTAGCATTGGTTCAAGAAATGACAAGATGCCACATTTGAAATGTGAGATGAGAGAGAAAGAGTGGTTTATAATATTTTTTTTTGTGTGCCTGTGTTTTTCTTTGATTTTTTTGTTTTAACTGCGCGGTTGACCTCTTAATCCGGTGGGTTAAGAGTGCAACATCAGTCTTGCCTGTTCGATGTTAGTAACGAGTAGGTATTGCGGCGTAGTATATTGTTATTTTTATTTCTTCTAATAGCTTTAGAGGTTCCTTCAGGTAGAATTCATTTAAAGTGAAGTTTTGTCCTCTTTGCAGTTAGAGTTAGTTTGTGTAATTCTGTTTTATATTGTTTCAATGAGGTTCCTTCACACAGAACCGCGGGTGTGTGAAGTTGACTGCTCATTGTAAGCTGAGTAATTGTAAGTACAGGGAGTAGTTTGTTTAATTTTTTTTTTTTTGAATCCAGGTTTATAAGCTTGCAACAAGTAAAACTGTAAGTGTGGAAAAATCACAGGTTAGACATTTACTCGCTGGGTTCAAGGTTCCTTTACACAGCACCAGTGCGGAATAAAGTTGTCCTTGATCCAGGTTTTTTTATTGTTTTGTGAATTTAGATGGTAGTTTGATCTGTATTATAAACCTTCGTCTTTATCATATCTCTTACTGAAAAAAAAAAAAAATACCTGTCTTAGGTGAAATGGTGTGGTCGCAACACTGAAACACCCCCCGGAGCTTTAATTAATATCGAATTTCGAATTCAGTCAAATTAATATATTCAAATAATTTGACTTATATAATAATTACTCAGTGTAAATAAGTAATTTAGGAATATTTCACTAACTAACATTCAAGACAGTTTAAATGAGTTTGTAATACTGCGAGATAGTATACACTTGCCATGGAAATAGAACTTGAAAATATAGCTCAACCGAATAGAGCTGGACGAGCTCAACAGGTGGGTATGGAGCAACTAAAACAAATGGTGTATATGATGATGAAACGAAACGAGGATTGGGCAAAAGAGATGACTGAAATGCGCAAGGAAATAGTTGCATTGCGCAGAGCTAGGGGTGAAACAGTAGCACCGCCAGAAGAAGTAAAGTTACCAAAGTGGAGTATACCAGAAATGTTTTCAATGACAGCGCACAGGCAAGATTTACAGGTAGAAGAGCAGGTGGATCGTGTTAGATCAGACAAACCAGATGATCTTGGTTGTGACGTGGAAACGTTAGATCAACATGAGGAGTCCTCGAATTTTACACCCTTGATAGGTGATTGTCTGTGTACACGTGATGAGAAACTTAAAGATTTACGTAGTGTAAATTTTGAAGAAACGCCCAGAGATGTTTTAACGCAAGATGTAAATATGAGGCGAGTGGATGTAATTCAAGCATTAACCAATAGAAATATTAACCACTCGGATGTACAAGGCAGCGTACATACTATAGAAGTAAATCTGAATAGTTCAATGTTAGCTACTGGTGCACATAACTCTTCAGATAGGGCTGTTTGTCGTTTACCGACCCGTGATCCAGTCTGCTTAGGCGAAAATAGATATCAAAAGGTAGTAATGGAAAAGTGTTGGTCAGATGACGAAGTTATAGTATCAGGTTCTGAAGTCTCCCGTTTAGCACTTGGGTGTGCTAATGAAGATGACATAAAGTTTCCGGACTGTGGTCCTATTTTTGATACAATTAATCCAATATTTGTGAAGGATTGTCATACAGAGAAAAGATTATGGTCATTGTGTTCCAATAACGAATTTAAGGAAATAGCTGCGTTATCGCTAAATGATTATATGCACATGTTTAATGTTGAAACTTTCAAACAAAAATTTTCTCGTAAGCTGACAGACTGTCAGTATAACGTTATCTTAATTTATTATTTTTATAAACTATGTGTAGTTGCTTATCGATCGTTTATAATGTTATCAGATGCAAGAACCTTGCAGAATATTAGAAAACTGACATCTCGCGATATGGGTGGTGATACACGTGATACCAGTCCTGAAGGCAATTTGATTACTATATGCACAGGATTAGGCATATTGTTATATAGCGAAGGAGTTGTTTATGCTGAATATGAAATAGATGTGTTTCAACAAGTTAAATATCAGAAAGTCACACACTGCTATGATAACATTAGAATAAGTATATTTACTGCTGGTGGGCCGTTACTTGTTTTACTAGTAGAACTGATGGTTGGTAACAGCAATTGTAAAGCGTCCTTGTAAGGGATAATTAATCAAATGAATTATTTTATTTCGCATTAATTTTCATGCGATTACAAAGAAAAAAAAAATAATAGATTTTATATTTAAATATTAATTTTTTTTAAACTGATAAGAGTAGGAAAGGTACATTGATTACATTTGTATTTAAAAAGACTTCTTGTCACTTTTCTAATTCACAATGATTTTTCAATGATATTGACACTGGGCGGAAGCAAAGGTAAACTATGTTTTTAGAACTAAGGTCAAGACACCAGGAGGAGAAAAGAAATATATATTAGAAAAATATTAAGTGTATTAGAGAAAATAGTCCAGATAGATAAGGTATTTAGTAGCTCAGTCGGTAGAGCATGAGACTCTAACATAGGGCGTGGATCGAAGCCACACATTGGGCACAGAAATATAAGTAATTCCAACTAAGAAAAAAAAAAAAAAAAGAGAGAGCCTACATGTAAATTCTTACGAGTGTGTTCCATGTTGCAGGCAACATCGACACTATCGATCCTGTTATGTAGGCCTGTGAGGGAATAGAATATTTAATCCAATAAGAATGAAGTAAATGTTACAGACATTACCTCGAACTTCCCGCGATGTCCATAAAAAAATCAGCCAATGTCTCTGCCTGTGGTGTTGTTTTTTTTTTTTGGTTAGTTGGCCGAGCAAGTCACCATTCGACCTCGCACCTGTTCATCTCATAATGTTTTTGTTTTTTAAACATTTTTTCTTTTTTTTATATATAAATATTGCACTGATATCACTTATTTTTTTTCTTTACAATTTATTCATGTGCATTGCTCGCACAGACAAAATAATATATAAAAATCGTGTAAAAGCTTTTGTTTCGTTTTGTTTTGATCGATATAATTGAGGCGAATTAGGTCGAAAGCTCCAGTAAAGTTTGACTTAGATATAAAAGATGGTATTGCCAAGTACAAATAATACACTGATACACTTAAGACAAATTTTAACTTTATTGGAAGGAAAAAATAAAGTAAGCTTTCTTAGAGGTCATCACCCTCCAACAATTAAATAAACACAAAACAAAACCAGCAAAGCCAACTAGGAGAGTGGTGAAAACTTTTCAAGGGCAGTCTACAGTAACCAAAGAGTTAACAGGATCACTAACGTGGCAGGAGGATTGAGCAGTTAGACAAATTGACTATAAAAGAGCCAGCGGAGGCTTGATTCGGTCTCTTGTATTTTGGTGTTTTCTGAGAACGGCAAGTGGAACATATCAGTTCACGTTCGTTATTAAAAGTCGACAAAAGAAAATTTTTTTTTAAATTTAATTTATGAAAAGTGAACAAAGTTTCCAAATTAATTAAAAATT